CTCCAGCTGTAATGAATCTAAACATTCTACATGTGTCTGGGAGTCAGGCCTGTGTGTGGGGGGTGCTCGCAGGGACTGTCAGTCTTGTAGTATGAGTACTATCCTTGTCGCTCTCCTTACCGATATGTCCTTGTAGTGGGGGGTGCTCGCAGGGACTGCCTCATGGAACGTCTAGTTTTGGAGTCCAGTGATGCACGCCGGAGGTCTAACATTGGGGATATAGCGGTGCCAGCCCAGGATAACCCCTCATACTCCACACCTGTCTCCATGTTGTAGCTAAGCAGCACTATGAGCATGAACACTGAGGGGAGGGATCTGTGTCCCTCAACGGACTCCAGAAAACAGGATTTTACAGCGAGTAGAACAATTCCGTTTTTTTCTCATCCATTCAGGGACACAGCAGAACTTTAACCTTTGGGATGTCCATATGCAGTCCAACTAAAAGGGGGCCACACGGTGGAAGCGGGAACACATTCAATTAGCACGGGATTTGATCTTTGACATGTAGACATGATTTGGTCACAACTAGAGTTGGATGAAGGGCAGAAGCCTGCAGTGAGAACAGAGCGGTACACAGGCCCTCAGCCCCCGTTCACACCGGAACGTTTTGTGGCGGGTTCTACGCACGGCGAACGCTCTACGAAACGCTCCAACATATAAATCGCATTGTAGTCAATGGTCTGGTTCCCACCTCGGCGTATTTCCGCCCGTCCCTAACGCGCTACAAAGCGGCCCGCGCCTGGAAAGGTACAGGTACTACTTTCAGCCGCTTTGTTGCGCATTTCCATTGGGATACAGCCAAGTAGCCTTCGGAAACGCGCAACTTTTTTTATCGCGAATCGCAATTAAAAAAACGCGCGACAGACGCGCATATGCAATACGCCTAGGTGTGAACGAGACCTTAGGGTTAGGGTTTCACGTGACGCAGCAGTGGGAATGGCAGAAAAAAGCGTGGCGTGCACTTACGCAGCACTCCACCCAGCAGATGATGTCAATGGTAAGTTCCACAATGTAAACCTTTCCACATCAATGGGGAATAATGGGACCCAGTGACCTAAGTAATTCACGTAGCTCCCAGTGCTTGGCCTGACTGGCCCACTCAGTAAGCCCTCGTTCACACCTAGGCGTATTGCGATTCGCGGTAAAAAAGTCACGCGACCGTCGCGCGATTCCGAAGGCTACTTGGCTGTATCCCAATGGAAAACACGCAACAAAACGGGCCAAAGTAGTACCTGGACCTTTCCAGGCGCGGGCCGTTTTGTAGCGCGTTAGGGACGGGCGGAAATACGCCGAGGTGGGAACGAGACCATTGAATACAATGGAATTTAGATGTTTGAGCGTTTTGTAGAGCGTTCGTCCAGCGTAGAACCCGCTACAAAACGTTCCGGTGTGAACGAGGTGTTAGTGATGTGACGACACGGTGATGAGTTTATGAGGTAAATGTGTATTGGGGTTGGGTTGTGTGTGAGTGCGTTATGCTGTGTGACCTGGTTATGGAAAGACTATCAGCCCCATCCCCCGTTATCTCCCATTGTTCTCTGAGGGAGCTCAGAACAATGACATTCTGGCCAGGCTCCTGCTATGGCTGTCTGGAGCTCGTTAGCAGGTGGACACCTGTGGTGTT